TAGGGGAGTGCTTCACAGCAGAGAGAAGCTATTAAAACATACACAAATCTGCTTCCCGGTCTGGTTGTTTATCTTGTATATTTTAAATACTAAGATTATCATTCCAGGATTAGCAGAATCTGTTAGATCTCTAAAAGTGCAGCTTCAAAGTCAGTTGAACTCCCCACTGATAGAAGGGGCGAGGAATGCAGAATGTATGAATTGTCCATCAGGAAAAAATAATGCCTTGATAACGAAAAAGAAGCAACTACTTAGTGAGTATTCAAGGTTGTAATGAATCCTGTTTGGATATATAGATAAAACTCAAAGGAGGGGAAGGTGGGGAAGGTTGAGGCAGGAACTTAAAGCCCTCTAACAGCTCGGCTTCAAAGCTCAATTTATTTACATATCATATTAGGTGGGTTAATGCCAAAGATAGAAAAACAGGTGTTCTTTCTCAGCTTTACTCCATGGACCACAATTCTACTTCCTTTCACCCATCTGCTGCACTCTCCAGTCAAGAGTATGAGACCGTGTACTCATCTGAATCAGTAACTGGGCTTTAATACCTGGTCTCAAAGCACTGTGGGAATTGCAGATGTTTTGATGTTTTGGAGTGGATGGAATGGTACGAGCCCCCCTGTTGAGCATCCTTGTCCATCTTGGAATACTAACTTTGAACTTTTTGTCTCAGTTTTGGTGTGTGGGAGTGGGTGTTACATGCTTCTAAATATGAAAACACTGTATGCATTTAAAAAGAAGTATGTATTATTTATTTCTCCTAAGGGAATACTAGAATCTTACTTTCAACTTTTAGCCACAGATACACGGTTTCCAGTTTAAAAGGCAGGATTTTTCACATGTTGTGGGTTTTTTCCCTCCCACTGCCTCCCTTGCTGCTGCCTTTTCCGACCATTAATTGGGTATTCTGTCCTCAGCTGAGGGAGGGGCGGGTGGATAGCAAATTAATTATATGGGGTTGAATTATGATTCAGGGCCATATTTCTTGGACTGCTAAGGCTAATTTGATGAGCATAAAAGTCCAGAAACACCTAGCAGAGATTTTTTTCGCCCTCTGTAGTAGATTTTCAGTGTGTAAAGGAAAGCAGTGGCTGTATCAGGAGTTTCCGGTGGGTAGGTTCGTAGTGGAGCTGAAAGAAATGTGAGCTAGGATCGACTTTTGGCTGTCCATTATTTATGCTGGACAGGCAGGACTGACATGGAACTACCTCTCTTTGCGCAACTTTAGCCTTTCTGAGCTCTAAGAGAGAAATAGGGCCTCCACACTTTTAAAAATGACTTTAACAAAATGGGGTTTTTTGGTAGTGAAATTTTTGTCTCTGCATCAGCACTGCTCCTGTTGACTTTCATGGAATTAGTTTTAAGTGGGCAGTAGTCTGAGGTGGTCAAATGTAGAGAATTGCATTCACAGAGGTGGTTGTGGGATTAAGCCCTTAATGCCACTGGAGATAAGGCGATTTGTGTGTCCATGTGTATGTGAAGCTGAACTGTTGGTTAGGTGCATATGCAAAAAAAGGATTGGATTAAAAAAACAAAATGGGAGAAAGGTTTTGTGTCTTCAGCAGCATCTCTGATCAGTGCTACCTTGTAGGGATCCATGTTAAACAACCTTACAGAAAAGAAAGGTAAACAACATGTTAATGAAATTCACCAGGGTATTAAATATAAGACACTGAAAACAGGGAAATAGTAGAGAAATGATACAGGAGACTTGAAGATGTTAGCAGAATAGATAGAAAAGCAAACTCAGCCTAACGGTCATAAGTCAAAATAACCCAAATGAGGTAGGTGACGCCCAGAAAACTGGGCTTAGAAAATAATCTACGTGTGGTTGGAAACAACAGTGAACTGCACTGATGATACCAGAAAGCACTGAAGGCAGTGACTTGTCATTTGGTATTGTAGCAAATAAAACACATGATTGTTGACTTTGGGGTTTAGCTCAGTAGCAGAGTGAGGAGAAGCTGCACAGTATACAATAGCATCCGTGTAGGTCTGTGATGTTTGTGTCTGTCATGATTTTTATGCGAGGATAGTGGACTTATGAGTGAAGGAAGCTGATCACTATTTGAGTTCAAAATAAAATTTTTCTGCATTACAGTTATTTGTTCAGCATTTAAATATGTTTTTTTCCCTCGCATGTTATATTATTCCTCTTAGACTACCTTTTTAAGCTTGCTTAATAGTGTGTTTAGATGGTATCTCCTGAAAATTCAGATATAATACGCGATTACAGCGTATTTCACATTGATGACTAAATGCTTGTTTGGTGAAGTTTTTGAAAATTATTTGCTTTTTTCCAATTCACTCCTAAAAATGATGAGGACTTTCTTTCAAAGTCAATGAGAGTTGACACAATGGATCATAAAGATTCATTTTCAACCCCTGTACTCTACACAATAAAAGGGCTGCAAGGAATTTGTAACTTCATTTTATTTTCTTCACTAGTCGTTATGTCTCCTTTGGAACTGTTTCCTTATTATGGTCTATCATGTAAATATTGTTTGGGCCATTTTTAGTGTACGCAGTACCATAAAACTATAATTATTTATTTTAACAGCTGTTATGATAGTTATTAATATGCACTTCAAAGCTGAGAGATCTTGGACCTGTTTTGTCAGTCTGTGGTTTGGTGGTGTTTGTTAAAAATTACATGATTGTTCATACGGCATAAAAAAAAAAAAAACCTCTGTTCAAGAACGTTAGTCAGTACTAGCTCCACAGAAGTCTTTTGAAGTCCAGTGTTTTTCGTAATTGCCTATTAAAGAGTTTCTTGCATCAGCATCATGGAAAGCACACGCAAATGAAGAGGAGCGTTGTTTTGGGTGGATACGCCAGGTCCTTCAGTCTGAGCTCTGCATTCAAAATCGGCAGAGTAACCAATGGGATTAGAAAGGGGAATGTGTCTTAAGGCCAAGCTAGATGAAGGAGGAGTGTGTCTGCCTGAGGAGTAGGGGGTAGTGGACTTGTATTTCCCAAACATAATAATCCATTTCTCAGCCAGACAACATTCAGCTTCCTTTATTTGCAGGCTTTATGGTTTCCATCATAAAGTCTTTGAACTGTAATAGGCCTTACAGTGTTGTGTAATGTTAATGTGTTTTCCCTGGGCAAATATGATAGCGGTGCTTTAAACACCGTGCTTTAATAACTAGAGGTGGGAGTATGAGGCTTTGTCTCTGTTAACATGAAGCGAGTGATACAATAGGATTGGATCTGGAGGATGAAATAGGTAATGGTCCCACTGTCTAGGCTGTGTTTGCTGCAAGGGATTTTTCTTTGGGTTAGCTCTAGTTTGACCCTGTGGACCTTAGTGCCTTAGTTAGAGGTTGGAGCACATTAGGTGCACTTCAGAAACACGTCTTCTGGTTGGTATCTGACATGAATCCAGGTTGTGTGCTTTGAGACCTCTCTAGACCAAACTACAGTGACAAGGGACAGTTAGGACAGTTTAGAGATGGTCTTCAAAATGGTACTCAGCGGTAATATAGATACACCTTAATATACCAAACCAGGTGCGATGGTACTGCTTCCCACTGCTCAGCTTTGTGGTAGGACGTACAAAGAAGAATAAAGGGTCAGATAAAACAATTAATATTTCTGTGGGAGACTCCTTTAGATTTTCAATAGCTGTGTGGTACATTTTTATAAGAGGCCATAATGTGTCTTTCATTATCATTCAGACATGAGGAAGGCTGTTAAAGCATGGCAGTGGTACTTCCACAATCTTGACAATAATTAACCTATTTCTTGTAGTTACCAGGCAGTGGTTTCAGCACCATTTATACTCTGCAGTTGTCATGCTGTCTCTTTTTACCCACCTTTCCAGCTACTGTCTAGCCGTTGTTGGAGGGATGTTAAATGCTGTGAGTGTGTTTATGCTAGTAAGTTGTTGGTATTCTGTGAAAATGCCTGATTTAAGGTTTTGATTTGGAGGCTGCTACCCACCCTTCAGAGACGGAGCAGGGAGAGAAAGAAAACTGAGTCAGAGCACCTATCGCTTTGACTTTTTCTTCAGAGGGAGCCTGTTTCTCTCCTCTGTGTAGGCGATCTCCAAATGTGGGCACCTGAGTCAAACAGAGTGACTCTCTGAGATGGTCTTTTTTTGTGCTTGTATAGTATCTACCGTGATGCCAGCCTACTCTATCTTATCGCTATGGAAAAACAAATTAGTAATTGTAGCTCATGCTGCTCAAGATCCTGGAAAGCTGAAAGGGGTTATAGGAGTACTGGGGGGACAACAGGCCTTGTGCAAAAGCTGAGCCTCACTTGGCATCGTTCACAGGAGTGTTTTGGCTCCAACACACCAGTCTCTTGGTCTGGGGTTTGGCTGTGCTGAAAAGCCAAAGCAAAACCAGGTGGGTGCAACGATAACCCCTGACCAAAATGTTTGTGTGTAATAGTAATGAACCAGGAGTTCCAAGAGGGTGCGTGGTTCTAGTCATGAATTACATTGTTCATATATAAATATCCTCCACTTGAGGAAGGTGTACGAGTATGATGCCTTCAGATTTGTCTATGAAACACCATGTTTGAAGTTGCCTCTCACTTCCTCCACTCAGGAAGGCACATCATATTGGTAGTTTGGGAATTTTTCATTAGTTTGTTTTCCTCTCATGCACAAGCCCATGAGTTAATCTAGATGGAGCCAAAGAGTAAGCATAGTTAAAGCTCTTGCAGGAAAACTGCAGATACCTGTATCCTCATTTTGCCATTGCAGATTTGCGTTTGCCATCAAAGTGCATGTTGAATCTCCTTGTCCACACGACTCCTCACGTGTGCATGGCGGTTTGAAAAAAGTAGAATTGGTATATTGGTTAAAAACAAGAAAAGTCATACCATATGTTAATGTGTTTCCCCTGACTTCCCATTTGGACTGACTTAGAAATTCTAGTCATAAGACAGTTAATAAAGTTTCCAAGTGATTGTGTTTTATGTACCCAACCATTCTTTGGTCTCTCACTCTACCTAAAAATAAAGTCTCTGATTCTGATTGCTAGAACCCCTCTGATTGCTGCGGGAGTTATTGGTGGCCTCTTCATCATCGTCATTGTGGGCCTGACATTTGCCGTGTATGTTCGGCGCAAAAGCATTAAAAAGAAGAGAGCATTGCGAAGATTCCTGGAGACTGAGGTGAGAGTGTGCTTCCCACAGAATATTTGAAGAGATATGCAGAGCTGTTCTGCTTTTATATTAAAGATGTTCAGGTCTTCAATCCAGTTACCAGAGAGGTCTACCAAAGGTAGAAATCCTTTTGCTAACTTCTGCAGGACTGAACTGATGGAATGAATGAAGCTATTTCAAGATATTAGTTTTCTGTACTTGTATAGATTTATGGCTTTTGAAGACCAAAAAAGATCCACATGATCACAAAGTCCTGTTCCACCAGATTTTTGAACTCCCATGCTGCTCTCAACTGAACTTCTATCCCAGTTCATCAGTACATTTAGCAGCTCTCATGCTTAAATATTACAGGTTTTCATCCGGTGCATACTGGGCTCAACTTCTAAGACTGAAGTAAGTTCAGCAAGCTGTGATGCAAACTTAAGCTCGTCAGGAATGCTTAAATGCAGAGATTGTCACTTACGGTTGTTCCCAGTGCCTGTATTGCCTTTGTGGTCCAGATTTTATCAAAGTCTGTAGTCATGATCAGTAATAATTATGTATTTTATTAAGCCAAGATACCTCCTAGAGCTTAACCAAATGAGGTTCACAGTTCTACTGGCAAAAATACGTAGTGGAGCTATAGGACGGAGTGGTGTGCCCACTCGGTCCTCCTCTTTGAAATGCCAGTAGTGGAGGGGGCAATCTAGGAAGTATATTTAAACATAACATTAAATCTTTATCTGTCAGCTACGGCAAAGGTGATTACTACCATCTCCTCAGTCCTATGCTTGAGACACTTTGCAAGTGATGATGTTTTTAAATTAGGGTCCCCCTTGTAAGATAATAAAGATTGGGAATATTGTTAGCTAGTGATTTTTGCCAATGCTGTTTTCTGTTCTGTTCCAAGAGTCCTGCTCCCACTCATCTCCACTGTAGAGCCTGGGAGCAAATGATACATGCATCCCCAATCTGTTTGCCTAAGTATCTTTATGCTTGGCTAGAATTTGTGTTGCTTCTTAAATACTGTTCAGTTGAATAGAAAGCTTAACAATACTCAGTGCCTTTAGATACTTAAATCTTGCCATTGTATCAGCCCCTACTCAAGCATAAATGATTTTAAGCAGGTAGTTTTCATTGTATTTGAGAGGTGAAGTCCAGCTCTCATTCTCCATTTGGTGAGATAAAAGCTGTGGCTGACAGCAGTTCGTGAGGGACCAAGGTCATCTACTGAACATGTGGGGAAGCTGTTGTCTTGGCTTAGATACTGAAGATTAAATCAGGAGCATCCTGAGATAAACACACAAGCGACTATAGCTTCGGCTAATGTCTCTGTTTCTAGCTGGAGGCTGTAACAGGCCTATTTTTTCTGTAGATCATTCTCAGTAAAACTCTACAAGCATTTTTTTAGATGCCCACAACACTTCTCCCTGCCATACCTATGTTGGTGGACTGTGGCACAGAAGCTGTTTTCACCCTTCGCAAACTGAAAATGCAGAAGTGTACCACCAGTCTGTCCACTTTTCTTTTACAGTAAACCTTCTTTCTTTCACCATGTAAGTACTGGACATCTAAAGTGGGAAGGAGGAAAGAGAAATCACTCTAAAAAAAAAGTACTGCTCACAAATTATTTCTGTGATAACCTGACTTGTTGCTGTTTGGTTTTGTTATGTTTTCTTACTCCAGTAATTTCCAGATACCGTTGTTTTTTTTTTTTACCTGAACCAAAGTAGTCTGGTCAACTAATTAAGTAGTTCATGATGCTCAAAGAGCCATAGAAGTAGTTTTCAAACTGCAGAGCATCATGCATTTAACCTTGTAAACAGACAACTTTGAAATACTGCAGTGGTTTCAAACCAATTTGAGTAGGAGTAGTGCTGAATTATTTTCCTCATCCTGTAAAGGAACAGATTATTTTTCATTGTTTAGAGTATTGTCCTTTTCATGTATTTTTAATTTATTTTTAAAGAAGCATTGTTTTTTCTGGCAGAGACGTTACAACGTTGAGATCTGAGAGCATTTTTAACTGAACGTGCCATTGTGGCTCATTTACAAAGTTTCTTGGGACATCTTGAGTAAATTGTTTAATTGTGCCTTTTTTGCAGTAAATCAGTGGCTGTTATAAATTAGTGGTCTGCTATGTTTTCTCCTTAAAGGTGTCCTCCTGTGTGGTATAGCAGAAGTTCAGAAAAATAGTCCCTTCCCCAAAACAGAATAAGAACGTGATGAGCCATTAAGTCAGGGCTATTAAAAAGAAATATGGCCAACTTAAAAGGCACTAAAATGGGCAAAAATAGAATGTGGTGCACTGATAATAAATGCTGTATTTCTGTCATGTAGAAAATATTTATACTGCCTCCATTAGCAAAAGTCCTTGGGTGTGTTATTGTGACACCAATTCAATTTCCAGTTCGCAATTCCATCATGCAATTCCTGGTGGAAATTACTACATGTTGAATGAGGATTTTCGTTATTAGATCTCTTAGCATTGCTCATTTGCTGCACAAGTTGGCAGGTCAATGGTCAATAGACCCCACCACTGTCTTATTCCAGTATTTAGTTGGATTGGTTGTTTTCAACTTCTGACAGGTCTTCCCATTTTCAAAAATTTAAGACTCTTGGATTTTCCTTCATAGCTTGTGGAACCCTTGACTCCAAGTGGCACAGCACCCAACCAAGCACAGCTTCGTATCCTGAAGGAAACTGAGCTGAAAAGAGTCAAGGTTCTAGGGTCTGGAGCCTTTGGAACTGTATACAAGGTAAGAGTCTTGAATACACAGCAGTGAGTTCCCTCATTTAACTTTTGAACAGTCAAGTTCTGCATTGCAGCGAAGCATCCCATACTGCGGATGGGTTCATGAGCCCTACGTGTCTGGGAAACTCATAGGATAGTGGAATTGTGTGGGAGGAGCACATCTTCAGGCTCAAATGTTAACTTCAGTTTTGATCAGACATGCAGATATTATTTCTTGGTGAGAAAAGGAGTGTCAGCCACAAGCATTCTTGCACACCAGAGGACTGCACAAGCTGGGCTGTCTTGATATTAAAATGCAGTATCAAAGTTTGTCATTCTGTTTTCACATAATGGGTTTACAGTACGCTTTTGGAACGCTAGATAAACTTTGTCTCTCATTTCGCAAGTGTCACATGGGTCTTGTAATAGTAATCGTATCTTGTAAAACAATATTGTCATTAGCTAAACCGTAATACTTTTTGTTTCTTCCATTTAAATAGGAAAGATGAGTTATGTCAATGCACCCTTTAACAACCAGGATGTAAGAGCCAAACCCACACGGGAAAAAATACTTCAGTTAAAGATTTGTTTAAGATCTGTTGGCCACATCCAAATCTCAAAGGCATGAAGTGTAGGGCTTAATGAGCAAGTCAAACCAATCACCTAACCCTTTGGGAGCAATGCAAACCTGCCAAATTAAAGTGGTAGGTCAGAGCAGTGGAGGAGGATACATACTGCTTTTGTCTTCAAACTGGGGAGGAAATGGAGGAAGTACAGACCAGGTCACTACAGGTACAAGGTCATGGGAATAATACATCTTTGAATAATCAGTTTGAATATACTTAGACAATAATAAAGTGATAGAGATGGATACCATGAGGTTGCCAAGAACACAGCAATAGTCAAGAAGGATGGAAAAGTAGCCCAAGAGACACAGGGTTTGTGAATTTTAAATTTAAAGTGTACTTTTTAGCCATCTCAGCTTTTAATTCTCAAATATCAATTAAGAAGTAGTTTTGTGGAATTTTTATTATTTTATAACTTTGTGTATTCTCAGTTCTGAGGTTTGTAACTGAACTGCATAATGTGACAAAATGCATCAAAAAGAACTGTAACGCTGAATGAAGTTTCTATGATTGTTGTCTTGTGTCACTTTTTTTTATCTTTCTAGGGCATTTGGGTCCCCGAGGGAGAAACTGTAAAGATTCCTGTGGCCATTAAGATCCTTAATGAGACCACTGGTCCGAAAGCCAATGTGGAGTTTATGGATGTAAGTAAGAGATGATCAGCATCTCTGAGTCTTAGGAGGGGGGGTGTCTTTCTGCAGTCCACAGAGATCATAAAGAGGAATTTCTGCCAGTTTTCTTTCCTTATATTTAAATAGTAGAAGGAGGCTTGTACACAGAACTGATATCGTGCTGATGTTCAGCAAGTGCCACAGTATCATGTCCCTAGAAAAACTCAGCTGTTGAGATTTTGTATGTAGGCCATTTCCCTCCTTCCCTTAGTCTTTGACAAGCTGTCTTGGTGTTAACACATATCTATAGCATTCTCTATTGCAGCACTGTTCAAACAAACAAACAAAACCAACCAACCAAAAAAAACCAAACAAGGTTACACCTCAGCTGTGAGGAGGTCAGTGCTGCTTCTCTGAAGCTGTAGAGCTAGGCAGATCTGTATGAGGCAACGCTCTGCCCTGTTTAAGTTTATTCCATGTAGATCATTCCATTCCAGAACCATAAGTACCTGCACTACCAGGGTAATGTCAGTGCCATGGTAATGAAGGGCTGGGTTTTTCGCTGTGCAAATATCATGGACCCTAAGATGCCTGGAGTTTTCTTATAAATGGTCTTCCCACCAGTGGAAGGCTGAAACTCCTCTGTCTCATGTGCCAGATATTTCATCTTTCCATGGCAGAGAAGCTAGAGACAAGAGAGAGAAGGAGTTGCAGGGTAGCATCTTACATGTATGCAAGTCTCCAATGGCGCAGAACTCACAGGAACAGAAATTTAGCCTCGGCTCTCTTCTGCTTCAGTGTTCCTGAGAATGAAGCACTGAGAGTCTGGGAGCTGTCAGCAGCAGCAAAGCATAATGGGGAGGGGAAAGAAAATTCGGGTACACTGGATTTTAAAAGCCCTTTTGCTTTACTAATCTGAAATATTGTTAGTAAGAGGTCAAGATCATAATTTTTATGAATGTTCTATGTTCACAGAGACTATGCACTCAGTTTTTATCTCTGTGTCAAGATCGAGCCTCGTTGATATTGTGAATGTGTATGTCCTGTTCAGTGACAATTTTTTGACATCATAAAAATTTGCACTTTTTTGTAGATCTCTCTTGTGAACTTCAAAATTACATAGGACTTTTAAGTCTTGAAGATCTGTTTAGTGTATAGGCGTAATTTGGTTAGCATTAATGAGACTGTAAACCACAAGGAGAATGTACTCCCGTTATATAGTCTATTTTTCCATCTAGAAATGAATAGAAATGTACAGTTACGGATTTAGCTGTTTCAGACAGATTACCACGTGTGAGTTCTTAGGCAGTTGAACGAAGGCTGTACAGATGATAGGATTTACCGTTTACTGGTGTTATTTTATGAGGAAAATTTAAGTGTACATATGAAAGCAAAATGCATCAGTTGTGATTTCAGTAAAAAGAGTATTATGAATAGTTGTTGGTTAAAAGCAGTTGTATCAGATTTTTTAAAGGTATATATGTGGCTAAGTGCCATTACAAACATAGTGGCGTTTAACTCTTTTTAAATAAGTGTCTGACATGTTGGTTATGAATGGGAAGAGGAGGTTAGTGGAAAGGATGTGTCATTATATGAGTCACACACTTGACTTTCATTTTTTTGTACTTGTCAAGTACAGGTGTGCTTTTGTCAGCAATTACTTCTTATTTGATTGTTTGTGTCCTTGTACTTGCAAGTAAAACTTAGCATTCCTTTTAGAGAGGCTCTGGAAAATGTAAAGCCTCTTGTAAATAGCAGTTTGTGTACAGAGAGAGTACTTGGGACACTTCAGTGTCTACAGAAATACCTGGTATAGATGTTAGTGGCATTGTCCATAGGCTCTGATTAAAGCTTCTAATGTTGGGAGAGCATAAGCCTAAAAGTGCTCTGCGAGCTCCTGAAATTCTGCTAAATGTTATGCTAAAAGAGTAAAGGACAACAATTTGGCTACTGGGCTGTCATTTCAGCACCTTGAACACCCACTAATGGATCTGTAATGACTGTAATGATATAATGCATGATGTTAGCACCTGCTATGGCCAAACACCTCCCACCCTCCTCCCATCAGGGGATGATGAATTGGCCATCATCAAAAAGTACATCTCCTGTTTAGAATTTTTCTTCAGGGACTTGCAGCAGAGTCTATTTTCCGGGCTTTCTCCACACATTCCCAGCTAGCTCTTTTCCGTTTACTTTGCTCCCTGCTTTCTTACACAGTTTTTATCACTGCAGTAGTCCGTGTCTGTTACAACAGGGCAAGATGAAGTCTACTAAGTAACCCATACTGCTTTCTCCAGGGCAGAAGCAGAATGCACATGTGGACTTCTATGGATTTGCTTTCACCCCGCAGAGGTTGTTGCTACTCTTTTGTAAAATGTGGGTTTACCTTTTTTCCACCTATTTCTGAATATGTATTATCTCTGGAATAAATTCACAGTCTAAAGAATTTCCCCTCAGGTGTTGAAACGGTTAGGTGCTTAAGTCGTGGGGCGTAGTTTCTCCTCCCTGCTTGGCTGGTCACACTTCATCGTCCCCAGAAGGATGCTGGAATTTGAATTCAGAGTGCAGGCTTTCTTGCTACTGGTCTGCCTGCAAGCGTGTCTGGGAGGGGAGTCACCAGCAGATGCAGGGGGTATCAGGGGGGAAGGATATCCTGCTCTTCACCCTAAGGCTGGTGACAGAATATATGAGGGTCCTGAGTTTTAGGGAGGGAAGAGAGGCTTGTTTCCCTTGTGAGGAAAAAAGGCAACTACACAGCTAAGAGGCTACTTGATAGTAGAACAGGGACTTACAATTTCACCTGTGAAAACAGTTTCCCCTCTTCAGCCTCAAATTATTTGACTATTATGATTGTTGATAAGTCAAGTAGCATTGGCCTGATCAGATGGCTTAACATCAAACGAGATGCTTGACTGATAATGTAATACATTCCAAAGTCATGCTGCAGTTGGAAAGCATAGCAAACCATCTTTGAGGCTAATAAAATGTATCTTTAAACTAACATGTCATGGGGAAACAGACAATTGATGAGGTCCTTTCCTCTCTAGCCCGCTAAGCTTGGTGTTTCCAGGAAGTAATCCTGTGAGCTGTGATTCTGTCCAGGGTTTTCATCCACTTACAAGTTTAATCTATCCTCTCTGAACTTAAATGCTCCATTATCTGTTAGAAAATAATTAGAGGCTGCAAGCACAAGTCTGCATACACAGAGTTCCTTGGGAGTCCCTGAGCTCATTGAGATGAAGACAGTTTGACTGATGGTGGTCAGCTGATATTGGGCCAGAAGCTAATAATAGAAGGCAGTGCTGCTTAGCTAGGTGAGAAAGTTAACTTGGGAAAAATTAAACTGAAAGGTTTGGGATTTATTGTTGGAAATAAATTTCCCATTCTCATTTGTTTCCTGGTAAGAGAGCTTCAGAGGCAGTTGGTTTCTTTTATGGTTTTATAATTAAGATCTAGGGGGCTTCTTGACTTCGCCTGGGCTTACTGTAGTTCCCTGCTGTCTCTAGGAGCAGCGTTCAGTGTGCAGGAGAGCATTTGTCAAGTGAAGCGTAAAGGTAGTAAGTGACAATGACCTCCACCAAGCATGCAGCAAACAAATTAAAGCTGCGTATAGGGGGCTGATACCCACATCTTTTATTTATGTCTGGCCTAATTAACTAAATTAATAAAGCAGTCAGTTGTCTTGTACTGCAAAAAGAAAGAGAAACAGCTTTTCCTAAATTGTAAGCCTGTCTTATAATAAAGACAGGTCCTCAAGACATATCGAACTTACCTTTGGTTTAGAAGTTTCAAGAGGAAAAAAATCATGTAGCTGATTAGCAAAAGAGAATTTTATCTCCTGTTCAGCTGAAAACCCAAAGAGATCTGGGTAGGTCTAGATGCTTTCTTTGTTTCTTCAGATATATCTAGATGCCATTGTGGAAAGTACACTGGAGATACCACTAGCTAGTCAGGTGGGGAAGGTGAGAGAAGACTTACCTTTTCTTGGTTTCCACCATTGGCGTTAGACGTAGGAGGGTTCTAAGCTCAAGTTTTTGGGTTCCTTCCCTGGCCCACGGCAGCTTTCACGGAGCCCTTGGAGCTCCCTGTGGACACACTCTGTGATGTTCAGTTTCTCGGTAACACAGATGCATTTACACTGAGTCTCCTTGTAAGATCCTGCCTTATACGACTATGTAGGTGACTGGAGAAATGTTTTTGTCTGTCCCTTGAATTATTTTTAATTCCGTGTACACATCTAATGCTATCTAGCCACATGTTTGACCCAGGTCTTCAACAGTCCATGTAGATGCTTCTGAAAGTCTGAAAAGACATTACTACTGGCAGTAGTTGGACAGTACATCCAGGCACCCCACAGTCATTCCACTGACTACATGGCTGCTTGGGAAATACAACCAAGTTAATCTTGAACCTCAGTTTAAAGGGCAGCTTTAGGATCAAATGAAATCCTTTATGGCAGCAGTGAGACATTTTTCCTTATCCTCGTCTGCTGTCATTTATGTAAACATCCCCCTTTCCAACTGGCATAAGGGGTCTCTGTAAGAAGAGCTGATAATGAACAGCAGTGTTGCTGTACTGCCTGGCAGTGTGCTTCAGCTGCGATTCAAACAGGTTTTCACTCCATCATGTCAAGTTGCTGGGGGTGGGGGGCAGGGGGTGACCTAACTCATCTGATTGTAGACTCATTTTTGTGCAGTCTCCCCTCTTCCTCCCACTTACGCACACTGTAAGTACAGCCACTTAGGAGGGGGAACTGTTTGCCTGTCAGTTCCAGGCACAGAAGCTCACTGTGATTGCAATTACAATCTCCAACTTGTCCAGAGATGCCAGAAATCAAGCTGTCCTTGAGAACTCTGCATACCATGCACAAGCCCCGAGAGTCATCAGCCTCTACAGAAGCTGGAAATCTGATCACTACTGAAGGTTAACTGCTTTTAGTCATCTGAAGATTAACTGTTGCAAGGACACATTTCTGATATTTCCATCTTAAGGAATAATTTTCTCTTCAAACGCTTGCTTACTTCAGTAATTTT